AAACAAAAAAACGCCCCCAGCGTCTTTGAGAACAACTAAGCCCGGGACGCGCCCCCGCGGCAGTGATCGGGGCCTAAGAGACGGGGGTCAGTGCAAACGGGGATCAGCCAGGGCACCAGATCTTGCAGGATCCTGCGATGACCCCCTCTGGCTGACCCGGGTCAGCGAGCCGCTCGTGGCCGCGGGGCGGCCGCGCCTATTGGCCGACCCGGGTTTGCGAAGACCTGCGCTGCCGGTTTTTTCCCTGCACTGCAGTTGTTTGGTTTCCTGCTGACCCGCGTCTGGACTGACCCGGGTCAGAAGATCCCCGAAGTGAGTGCGTGGCCGTGCTCCGCCGCCGCTGCAGGTGGTCTCGCGCCTGCCCGGGGAGCCCCCGCGGGAGGCCCCGCCGCCGGTGGGCGCGCCGGGCCCCGAGCACGGCCAGCCCCGCGGCGCCCCGGCGGGGCGCGGGGTCCTCGACCTCTGCCGCAGCGAGCAGGCCCCTCGGGCAGCCCCTGTAAGTCAAGGGCGCAAGAAGCGTCCCTACAGTGCTTTTTTAATACATGCTCCTCGTGCGGATCATGTGTTAGAGATGCAGGGACTTGGTATTAAAAACAACGATGGGTTCATGCATACATTTATTCATCAATTAGTCATGTATGAAAAATCCGACTATAGTATTAAAATCCCATGTGTTAAAACTGCCCTGTACCCTGGATTACGAGGCGCTGTGCTCTGAACCTTCTGTTGGCTGACAGGGTAAGCCCTGCGTATCGCGCGTGTCGCGCGTCGTCCTCGCGGCTCTCTGGCCTTCCTGGGAGTTCCCGGGAGGTTCCCAGGCCACGCACTTGGAATCCAGGGTGGGGGCATTTCTTCATCCCTCAATTAAGGGGAGTCACCATCAGGGAGATCAAACCAGCTTCTCCCCAGAAGGCGAAGTTCCGGGCCCTCCAGCTGCGGAGGCCTTCGGGTCGCCTGGGGCCGTCGTCGAGGGCTCTGGAGTGCTCCTGGGGGCCTCTGTCCGGAGGAGACGGCGCTTCTCGAAGAACTACGATCGGCATTGGCAGAAACTCTTGGGGGTCCGCGCGGATTTCGTGGATCTGCGCCGGCCCCCGCGCCGCCCCTGGCGCGCTACGCGCGCCAGGGAGGCGGGGTCCAGCGCGGATCCAAGAAATCCGCGCGGAGCGCCAACAGTTTACGTGTATGCCGTTGTGTCTTCTTCTGCTGGAGGAGACGGCGTTTCCTGGAGGAAGTGGTGGCCCCGCTCACGTGGTGACCCCCCGTGGGATATGCCCCAAGTTCAAGTCGGGCATGTCCCTCTGCAGGAGGAGTACAGTCGGCCCTGATTAGTAGGTCAACCCTGCCAGCTCAGGGGTACCCTTGTGTCCTGTGCCTCTCGACACGTGCCTTCTTACACTCCTATGGCGATGTGGCCTTCGCAAGGGTCTTGTGCCCTCTCGCGTGTCCTCTCCAATCAAGTCTGATTGTATTCAAAAATAGTGAGAACTGTCTGGGGACGATTTTATTCTATGTTTTTTTTTGGGGGGCCTCTTATGTGCAGCTGTTTTACGCCTCTCGCCCAAAATCCGTCTGCAGGAGGACATGCCTCAGACACAATTCATCGGCGATCCCCAGGAAAACACAGGAACATGTGGGAAGTGTGTGGGGGGGAAGACGAAAACCCAGAACACGGGGGAAAGTAGGGGGAATCCTCTTGTTTGTGTGTGTATGTGTGTGTGTGTGTGTGTCTTTCTCTGCGTGTCCCAGGGCCCCACGCAGTGCCCGATGCGCCCCGCAGGCCCGCGGCGCCTGCGGCGGCGCGGACTGCCTGCCCCGCGAGGCCGTCGTGTGGGTGGAGGGCCAGGACGCCCCGCGGCAGCTGCAGCAGCTGCAAGAGGGCCGCCCGGGGCAACGCCGCAGACCGGGGGTGCGGGGGGACGCGGTGGGGGCTCGGGGGCGGAAAAGAGGGGGGTGATGACTAGGGGGGGGTGGATATCATGGCGGGGGTCATGATATTTCCCCAGATTTCATGGCGCCTCTTCTTATTTTATTACGTCCCTGGCCCCACCGCTGGGCCGCGCACGTGCCGCCGGTCATGATTTGCACCCCCCCCTCTTGGACACCCCCCTCTTGGCCGCTCCCGAGGGGGCGCGCACCAATCGAGGGCAGCGAGACGGGGGGGATAGGCAGAGGGGGGGGGGGCGCATCGGTCCCCAAGCGTCCACTGATCGCCGATGAGGGCCCGATAGCCCCACCCCGCCCAGGAAGGTGCGGATTTACGATCGGGAGCCTGTCGCCGATCTATCGGCGATGTATCGCCGATTCCAGGTCGATGCACCCCCCCTAAGCTTTCCCCCCCCCCCCCCTATCGTTGCCCCTCAAGAAACCATCAAGCGCCTCCAAGGAGGACGCAAAGCAGCAGCCCGCAAGTGCGAACACGAGTGAGTGGCCGGGCGCGGGGTGGGTTGCGGGTGGATCGCGGGTGGATCGCTGGGTGGATAGCCGGGTGGGATACAGTGGGCGCGCGCAGCAAGAGTGTCGCCAGTGGCATTAAGTCGGGCTTGTGCCTCTACAGGGGGAATATTCAGAAATAGTACAAAATAGTCGGGGGACGATGTTTTGACCATTTTTGAGCATTTTGGGAGTAGTTTGGACTATTTGTCACTGCTCGTTCAAGATCGGGGGGACAGGACCGTGGCAAAGTTGCGCACGGGGGTGGGATACCCGACCCCCTCGCGCTGCGAAAAAAAACGGGAGTGGGATTGAAGCAGTGGCGAAGCGTCCTGGCGTGCCTATAGCCCTACCAAAAAATGTTCGAAGAACCTTTCGTGGTTTCCACGAAATGTTCTTGAACATTTCTGGCTGGGACTGCTTTGTTTTATCATATTGGGTTTATGTTATAAGAACATTTTTTGGTTCTTAGAACATTCTGGGGTTCTAAAGACATTTCGTGGTTGGACTATAGGAATGCCGGGACGGTCGGTCACTGCTCAAGGGATACAGCGGGGGCGCGCATCAAGGAACCACCTATTTTTGGTCGGGGTACCCTGGGTTTCTCTGCTCCGCGCGCAGCGCGCTGACTTCCCGCGGCCGTGGAAGGAGCTGCTGCCTTCAGGGCAGGGCTGGACCTAAACGGTGTTTTGGCGATTTCGTGGGCCGCTTTCGTTTCGATTGCGTTTTGCGGTAAAGGCGAATCGAAGACAAAAGAAATGGAAAACGAACACAATCCGAAAACGAAACACACCGTCAAGGTTCAGCCTTGCCTCAGGGTGCTCCAGGCTTCCCCTTCCAGGTGCACCTCGCGCACGGGTTCTCAGGGTTGGGTTTCTGGCGAGGGTCCCTTGCGGCCGCGCCCGCACTGCAGCCGACCCCCTCGCGCTGCGAGCAGAAAACCGCGGCGGCAGCTCTTTCGCCGCGTCCGGCCTCCCGGGGGCCCCTGCCGGGCCTCGGGGCTTCTTGGCAGCACGGAGCGACCCGGGAGAGAGCACCGGGCCCAGGGAAGGGGTCGGGACCTCCTGGGGACCGACGCTGCGAGGAAGGTGCGACGTCGGATGTCTGGGCAGGGGGTGCGCTAGGCTCGGGGTTGAGTCGGGCACTTCCCTCCACAGGCGAAACAGTCACACATCGTTTGAGCAAGGCTCTGGTGGCGATGTGTCTTTGTGCTTCTGCAGACAGAAAACCAGGTTTGACCTTTTTTGGGGGGGCATTCTCTCCTGTTTCGTATGTTTCATCCAGACTCCGCCTGCGGGGGGACATGCCCGACCCAAGCTCTGGGTGGCGCATCGGCACCCCATCACCCACTCGTCGCCAGGCTGGGCTCGCGAGAGCCCGCCCTTCACATGGGAGCGTGCGGATCCGCTGCCGCGGGGTCCAGTACACAGGAGGCCCCTGCCAGGAAGCGCCCTGTTTGCCTCCAGTCAAGCAGTGGCGAAGCGTCCTGGCTTGCCCATAGGCCCACCGAAGGATCCTCCAAGAGCCTCTTGTGGCTTCAACGAGATGTTCTTGCTGGGACTTTCTCGGTTTAGCACACCTTGGGGTTCTAAGGACACGTCGTGGTAGAACCATCGGAATGCCGGGACGGTCGGTCCCTGCTCAATCCAGGGTGCCCTGGGTTTGTTGGGTTTCGATGTTTTTGTTGTGGAAAGCGTGACGTTCCCATGCCAGGAAGCAAGGGACGGCCGGGGGGAGTCTCAGGGCTAGGTTTCCTGTGGAAGGTTTCCTGCGGTCGAGCTCCTGCTGTATCGCGGATATGTCGGCGATGTCTTGCGGATTTGCAGGTCGATGCCCCCCACCATGGGCCAGTTCCCCCCACCACCACCGCCAGCGTTTCCCCTCCAGGCCAGAAGGTGCTGTGCTACGACTCGCTGGGAGACTGCGTCGACTACGTGAGCGTGGAGCACTTGAGCCAGGACACTCGTCTAAACCATCCGCGGAGCGGCCTGTGGCAGGGAGAGGGGGAAACGGAGGAAAAGGAGGGGGAGGACGGGGAGGAGAAGGAGGAAGAGAAGGAAGAGGATGAAGAGGAGGAGGAGGAGGAGGAGGAGGAGGAGGAGGAGGAGGAGGGAATGAGGAAGATAGGAGGAGGAAGAGGAGGATGAAGAGGAGGAGAAGGAGGAGCACGCAGTAGCCCAGGGAGGGGGGCCTAGCCATTCATTTGCTTACATTCCACGTACCTCAGTCCAGATACAGCGGTTCAAAGAGCCCCATGTCTAATGATCATCCCCATCACATCCGTTGTCAGAATCGGGCCTCGTGCGTATCTCTCCAAAGGGAGACGGCTATGGCCCTTTCCCTGCACCGGCCGCCGTGGTGGCGACTACTCCTGTACGAATCCCGCGCAGGGCACGGGCTCTAGGATGCCCCCAATCGTTGGAGGGGGTTGTGCCATGCGTAACCATGGGGGGGGGCGTGGGGACATCACCGTGGAGCTGCACATGCACGAGGAAACTGCGCCAGCTGCCCCAGCTGTCGATTCCCTTTGTGGGTGTGATGTTCCTGCAGCTGGTCCTGCTTCGGTTGCATGCAAGGTGCGGCTCTATCCCCAAGTGGCTGACCCCAGCCGAGCAGTACGATGATAATGATGATACTGTTGCCTATGTTGATGATGATGATGATGATGATGATGATGATGATGATGATGATGATGATGATGATGATGATGCTGATGCTGATGCTGATGCTGATGCTGATGCTGATGCTGATGCTGATGCTGATGATGATGATGATGATGATGATGGTGGTGGTGGTGATGATGGTGATGGTGATGGTGACGATGATGATGATGATGATGATGATGATGATGATGATGCTGATGCTGATGATGTTGCTGATGCTGCTGATGATGATGATGATGATGATGATGATGATGATGATGATGATGATGATGATGATGATGATGCTGATGCTGATGCTGATGTTGATGACCAGTATGGTAGAGATGATACGTTCCCTCCTCATCCTCCTTACCAGGTCTCCTTCCGCTGCCGTTTTGGCCCTGTCCGATCGGCCTACAGGACCCTTGCCAATTTTTTGGTCCCGCCTCCCAGCGAGAGGACGAGAAACGAATCCGCTCTGGCTGGCGCTGCGCGCTGGACAATGACATCATCTTCGATTGCGTTCGATATTCTTATCCGCTGGCGCGGCTCTGCCAGAGGTGGCCAAACCTGCCTCGGCAGGCCGATCCACGGTAACCTCCACGGAAACCCTGACGGCGATGAGGAGACGACGAGGTCGACCGTGTCGAGCACACATCCACAATATCCATGGCTTTTGGAGGCCGTGATCGACAGAAGCCTTCTTTCCAAGCAGGAGGCGAGGGCTACAGCCTCGTCACGGTCTGGGACGGAGCGCCGCAGGGCTGGCGACTGCACCGCGGTGACGTAGAGATCCTCGCCTTCGGCGCGAATTCAGACGTGAATTGTGGCGCGGCTGCCAGGCTCGTCTCGAGGCTGGAGGGCGCCGTGACACGACGATCTCACGCGAGTAGCTACAGCCAGGCCCCGTAGTGCCGCAGCAGCAAGACGAAGACGGCCACGTCCTAGATGAGGCGGTTTTGGCGGACCTCATGCGCGGCATCGGCAACTCGTTGCCGGCGGTAGACGCTAGAGCACGCAAGCGTTAAGCCCCCAGCATGCCGTGCGTCACGGCCAGACCATGCACGAACTCTTCGAGTCGCTGCGCTACAACCAAAGGCACGGCGATCGCATCAGGGACTTTATCCCGAGATTCATTCGAGGAAGGCGCCAGCGATTGGAAGATGATAAAGTCCAGTCTGCAGATAGCGATGGCGCCCTGGGCTGGTTGTTTCTCAATGGAATTCTGCTTCGCCATCGAGCGTCGAGAGCGAGTGGTGGCAGCACTCCTTGGCGACAGGTATACGCTCACGGACATCAGGGTGGCACTGGCCAGGCTCTTTCCAGACGTGCACGTCATGGAAGCTCGAAGGTCGCAGCCGCCGCCCGAGAATCAGGTGCGGAACAGAGGGGGGTGATGCCTAGGGGGGGGGGAATTCATGGCGTGGACCATGATATCTCCCCAGGTTTCGTGGCGCCTCTTCTTCTTTTATTACGTCCCTGGCCCCCCCGCTGGGCCGCGCACGTGCCGCCGGTCATGATTTGCACCCCCCCCTCTTGGACACCCCCTTCTTGGCCGCTCCCGAGAGAATAGATTCCAGGACCGCGGGGGGCTTCGTGGCTCGGGCGGACCGAAGGGCGGCGGCGGCACGCAGAACGGACGAGGGGCGCTTGTCACAGAGCGCGAGTTGGGCACAGAACCCTATAGGAAGTGACCACCACGATCGATTACAATGACGGCGATGAGGGCCAGAACGATACTGAGATTAACGAGGTCGAAGTCAGCGACGCCCAGGGTTTCGTCCGACAGGAGCTCGAGGCCTTCGCCAGAGAGCTCCAGCGCCTTGTCGCTCCAGCGCCAACGCCTTGTCGCTCCAGCGCCCTGAACAAGGAACTGTTCATGAGTAGTGCAGGAAGCGAGCGAGGTCCCCCAAGGATGGCGAGGTCCATTTGAGTCCCCAGCGGGGCGTCTCTCCGTTGGCTTTGAAAATGACGGCGTTTTCAGTTCGCAGCCCCCCAGAGATTGCGATTGCGACGTCTAGTCTGCATCCCCGCCGGGGCCCCACTTTGCTGGACCCGCAACGGCCCTCGAAGAAGGCGGCACGCTCGCAGTTCGCAGCCCCGTAGGTATGGTGGGGTCTAGTCTGGATCCCCGGCTGGGCCCCACTACGCTGGACCCCCCAGCAGGCTTTGAACGTGGCGGCGTTTTCGCAGTTCGCAGCCATCCCACGTGGAAGCCCCAGGGATTAGTACGGTGCGGGGGCGGGGGTGCGGAAGGACGAACAAGTGGGTGCGCGAACGAAACGCGCAACGATCCCCTAAAACTAAACCGTTGCATGTTTTTAGATTTTCACCCGCGTGCGCTCGACCTCCGTAATTTTTGTTTCTGGATATTATGTCAGCACTTCCCCCGCGCGCTTCCCGCGCGCCCTCGCATCCCCTCACAGGGCTTGGACGGCGGGGGCACGGGATGGCGAGAGGAAGGGGAGGAAGAGAACGTCAACGAGGAGCGGGTTCCAGGACGTGGGTGAGAGGGAGAGGGAGAGGGGGAGGAGGAGGAGGAGAAGGAGGAGGAGGAGGAGGAGAAGGAGGAGGGCATGATGCATATAGGGGACTGGAGGGAAGTCGGACGACGAGGGGGAAGAGGAAGAGGAGGACATTCAGCTGCATGCTGATACACACCCCTGGTCAAGGCAACTCGATAGAGCGTCGTTTCTGCAACTGCAACGCCGCATCGGCACGGCCTAACAGGACGCCGGGCGTGGACACTTAGGTAGCAGGTCGTACGAGCGTACCTTGTGGACACCGTAGTGGCAGAACGTCCGAGCGAGCAATGGGGACACACTGGTGGCAGGGCAAACCGCCTGCTATGATCTACTAGGTCTACAACGTCCTGGGAGGACGCGACGATGGCCCCAAGACGCATCCAAGACGCTCCTAGAGCGAAAGATCGCAAAGGTGATGATATCGAATCTTGTCGTCGTCGATCCCCCCTGACGTCTCCCCTCCGCTTCCGCCGTTTCCTCATCCTCCTGCTCCACCTCTTCCTTGCCCCCCTCATCCTCCGCCTCCTCCTCCTCCTCCTCGATATATGTGTATATGTATTATTTCCCATCCTCCTCCACCTTATCTTCATTCCACAAAATCTACGACAACGGATGCGATTCGAACTGCGCTGCATGCGGCTACGCATCCCTGATCACACAAACTCTCCAAGTGGCTGTTTCTGGAATGGTTTGGTGGAGATGCGAGACGAGTGCAAAATCACACCAGCCTTTGATGGCGTGAGTGGTCTAGGGAGCTCGCTCTGCTAAATCAATGTCTTCCCCTTCGGGGAGGGGGGTCCTCCTCCCCGCGCCCCCTCCCCCTGGGTCTGGACGGGGCGTTTCGCGAGAAGTTGAAGCACCCTGGATGGCCCGAAGATGGCTCAAAGAGAGATCCTGAGAGCTCCACGTGGCCCCCAAGATCGCTCAAGGTAGCCCAAGATCGTTCAATATAGCTGCCAAGATGCTTCCAGGCGCCCTCAAGACCGCCCAACGACGGCTCCAAGTGCCCTCCGAGCTACCCAAGGAGGCCCCAAAGAGGTCCAAAACATTCAAGTCCGTTGTGTAAACTTCAATGTGTTTGGCATTCTCGCCTTTTGGCTTCCGATGGGCTGTTGAGGCCTCAACATGGCTCCAGGATGGCCCAAGAAGGCCCCAAGAGGGGTCCACGACGTCCCCAACACCCCCCAAATGAGTGCACTGCCCTGTGGGGAGCCTGCTATCCCACCGAACGGGATAGAAGATGGCGCTCCATACGTTATCCCATGGAGTGGGATAGCCGCTCTGGCGAGGTCCCACATTCTCGGACAGATGGTGCCCTGGAGGTTATCCCACTTTGTGGGGTAGAGATGGCGCCCACTTGGTGGGATGCAGGTGGCCCCAGGAGACTCCAAGTGCCCAAGAGGGCCTCAAAGGACCACCAACAGGGGCCGGGAGGCCTCCAACATGGCCCCGCGAAGGCCCCGCGATGGCTCCAGGAGGCCGTGTTCACGGCCACCTGACCGCGAACACGGCCGTGCGTCACGGCGAACTGGCCGTGAACAGGCCCGTGTCCACGCTTCTGGGCCGCACCCAAAATCATTGATCTTTCATGGGCTTTCTTGGGAATAGCCGCTAGCCTGTTGGTGGTCCTTTGAGGCCCTCTTGGGCTCTTGGAGTCTCCTGGGGCCACCTGCATCCCACCAAGTGGGCGCCATCTTCTAACCCACAAAGTGGGTTAACCTCTAGGGCACCATCTGTTCCGAGAATGTGGGACCTCGCCAGAGCGGCTATCCCACTCCATGGGATAACGTATGGGGCGCCATCTTCTATCCCGTTCGGTGGGATAGCAGGCTCCCCACAGGGCAGTGCACTCTTATGGGGGGTATTGGGGCCTTCCTGGGCCCCTCTTGGGGCCCTCTTGGGCCATCCTGGAGCCATGTTGAGGCCTCAACAGCCCACCGGACGTCAAAAGGCGAGAAGACCAAACACATTGAGGTTCACACAACGGTTTTGAATGATTTGGGCCTCCTTGGGGCCTCCTTGGGGGGCTCGGAGGGCGGCACTTGGAGCCGTCGTTGGGCGGTCTTGAGGGCGCCTGGAAGCATCTTGGCAGCTAGATTGCACAATCTTGGGCTTGAGCGATCTTGGGGGCCACGTGGAGTTCTCTGGATCTCTCTTTGAGCCATCTTCGGGCCATCCAGGGTGCTTCAAATTCTCGCGAAACGCCCCGTCCAGATCCAAGGAAAGGGTGCGCGGGGAGGGGCCCCGCCCTCTCCGAAGGGGAAGAAATGGGTTTAGCAGAGCGCCTCCCTAGTTCACTCACGCCATCAAGGGCTGGTGAGATTTTTCACGCTTCGCGCATCCCCCCACCAACCCATGCCAGAAACAGCCACTTGGAGAGTTGGCGTGATCAGGGATGCGTAGCCGCATGCAGCGCAGTTCGAAATCGCATCCGTTGTCGTAGAGTTTGTCGAATGAAGATGAGGTGGAGGAGGAGGGGAGATAGATTTTGATGAGGAGGAGGAGGAGGAGGAGGAGGAGGAGGAGGAGGAGGAGGGGGACAAGGAGGAGGCAGAGCAGGAGGATGAGGAAATGGCGGAAGCGGAGGGGAGAGGTCAGGGAGGATCGACGACGACGACAGGAGTCGACATCAACGCCTTTGCGATCTTTCGCTCTAGGAGCGTCTTGGATGCGTCTTGGGGCCATCGTCGCGTCCTCCTGGGGGGCATTTTTGGGGGTCAGGGCTTTGTAGACCTAGTAGGTCATAGCAGGCGCTTTGCCCTGCCACCCATGTGTCCCCATTGCTCGCTCGGACGTTCTGCCAGTAAGGTGTCCACAATGTGCGGTCGTACGACCTGCTACCTAAGTGTCCACGTCCTGCGTCCTGTTATGCCGTGCCGATGCGGCGTTACAGTTGCAGAGACGATGCTCAATCGAGTTGCCTTGACCGGGGGTGCGTATCAGCACGCAGCTTAATTGAGAGGGGACACCCGACGCAGCATCAGTACGTGTTGCTTGGCCATTTCCCCAACGTGTGTTCCGCCCCCCATCATGCTCTTCATCCTCGTTCTCTCCTCCTCGTCGTTTTCCCTCTCCTCCGCTCCCCCCTCGTCGTCCTACTTCCCTCGGGTCCCTTATATGCATCAGGTCCTCCTTCTCCTCTTCCTCCTCCTCCTCCTCCTCCTCCTCCTGTCCCTCTCCCTCTCCCACCCTCCTCCTGGAACCCGCTTCTCGTAGACGTTTTGTTCCTCCTCTTCCTCTCGCCATCCCGTGCCCCCGCCGTCCAAGCCCTTTGAGGGGGATGCGAGGGCGCGCAGGAAGCGCGCGGGGGAACCGCAGACATAATATCGGGGAACCGGAACTACGGAGGTCGAGCGCACGCGGGTGAGAATGTAACAAAACATGCAATGGTTTAGTTTTAGGCGATCGTTGCGCGCTTCGTTCGCGCACCCACTTGTTCGCCCTTCCGCGCACCCGTCCCCGCACCGCACTATGTCTTGGGAGTTCCACGCTAAAGTTGACCATGCAACCCAGGGATGGCGAGGTCTGATCCGAGTCCCCGGCGGGGCTCCCTTTGATGCTGTCCCCGAAAGTGGAGACAGTCGCAGTTCGCACCCGCCCAGGGATGGCGAGGTCTATTATGAATCCCCTGCGGGACCCAAATATTATGGACCCCCCAGCAGCCTTCGCAAGTTGCGAGCGCGTTGCAGTTCGAAGCCCTCCATGCCTGGCGAGGTCGGGTCTGGCTCCCCGTAGGAGCCCGTTGTGATGGACCCCCCTGGAAGCTCCCGACAGTGGCGGCAGTTTCGCAGTCCGCAGCCCCCCGGGCATAGGGAGGTAAGACAGGTAGGAAATAGCTGGAAGAGAAGTTGAGAGAAGAGAACGCAGGAGGGAGGATGGGGAGAAGGAAGGTTGGAAACGACGATGCCATTTTCAAAGCAAGAGTCCAACAGGGGCTTGATAACATTATGCGGAGGGGGGCGCTTGATTTGCCGGCTGTCTTTTTGGGGGGCGAGAAGAATTTAGTCTTTACATTGGTTCAAGTATGGAAAGTGGAAGAGAACAAACAAGAGCTACTGTAGGTAACCTGACTGCGTGCGCGGCACATTCGACACCCCACCCCTCCCTCCCATCCCGTCCCGCTGCGCCAATGTACCTCTCTTTCTCTCTCTTTCTTTTTTTTCTCCCTCTTTTTTGTTTCTCTTTCCCTCTCTCTCTCTGTCTTGCTATCTTTCCCTGTCTATACATATAGATACATCGGTGTATCCGCCATCGGGTGTTACAGCGGACCTGGAAGATCCACAAGGACGTAATCGTATTCTTCGCGAGTTTTAGAAGAAGAAGTTGTTTACCTTGGAGGAAGAGGAGGCAGACGAGATGGAGGACAACGATAATTATGAAGAGCGTGAAACACAATGAGTTTCCAGCAGCAGTAGCAGGATGGACAGGAGGAGCAGGAGGACCATGTCAAAGCAAAGGAGGGGAAAGGAATGGAACGACAACGACGAAGAAACAAAGTGATCCAGAGGTGTGGCCCGGGATGGGGCGGGAGCGCCATTCTGAACGACGGGAGCAAGGTTCCAAGTCGAATGTGACGCCCACAGTGAAGCGGGAACACCATTTTGAAAGGACCGCTAGCATTCGGATTGGAGCAGCGCATCAAAAACAGTATTGCGCACCGGCGTCTTTTGAAGTCGCATTACGTGGAAAGGGGGTGCGCCATCTTCAGCACGTCTTCAGTGGGAGCGGGGGGACTTGTGTGCACGTAGGATTGAAGAGGTTCAAGACGAATCGCAGCGCCTTGCTTTGTAGATACGCCTGTGTAGCCAGACGTTGAGGCAGCGCTTCGCCACGGTATTGGACCATGCTTTCCCCCAGCCGTTGTGGAAACCCGGCGAGGAACACGTGGGGGAGGAAAAGGGGGATGAGGAGAGGGAGGAAAACAGAGGGTGAGGAAAAGGATGAGGAGACCTCCTGGGAATTTCTGGGGTCATTCTTGGGGTTTCCTGGGAGCTTCTTTGGGGCCTGCTGGAGGCCCTCTGGGAGCCTCATTGGGCCTCTTGGGGGCTTCGTTGGCCGTCCCGCGGCGTTCCTGGCCCGTCCGACGCCGTCGGGAGCCGTCCTGGTAGCCTCTCTGGGCCGTCTTGAGGCCCTCCTGGGGCGCCTCAGGGTGGTCTTGGAGGTCATCTTTGGCGCCTTGGAGGCCCTATGGCCAAGAACCCCGAGGCGGAGAGGAGCTTCGAGGCGGCCGGTGAGGACCACCACGGCCGCGGTGTCAGGCAGGGCGACGACGAGCTTCTCATGGGCGACCATCGCGCGTGACGACTGCATGCTGGGCTACAACGAGTGGGCGCAGACAGGGTGGGCGGCGATGTCGCTGGACGAAGTGGGAGCGGCGACGGTGCAGATGTGGGCCCCCCCTGTCGTGCACGGTGCCAGCGCAGTGGGCGGTGGCGAGGGCGGAGCTGCGGGCTTCCGTCGGGGTGCTGATGCACGCCCTGCCGCCCTGCAAGATCTCCACGGACGACGAGGGCAGAGAGAGGTGGAGCGGTGCATTGGCTGGAGGCGGCCGCATGCGGACCTGTGGCGATGCATCTGGCGCAGAGGAGGACCTGGGGCTCGAGACCCACGCGGCGCATCACGTGATGACGCGTCGGTCGGAGCCCAGGATCGAGAAGTTTGGAGGCGAGGAGCTCAGGGTCGCGAGGGGCAGCGGCTTGGTGGACCTGCTAACGAAGGCTTGCTCCGAGGAGGGCCCGAACTTCTGCAAGCACCCGGCGCTGGCGGAGCTGCGCGCGAAGGCGAGATGAGCCGTGCAGAACATAGGTTGGTGGTGCCAGAAAATAGCGGGAGAATGGCCACACGTTCCGAAGAGGGAGCCAGGGAGGCCGACGAAGAAAACAAAAACACACTGCTGCCCCTCACGAGGCGCATGGTCGAGCAAAAGGGCTAGTAGATCGTGCGCGCGCTGCGGGACGAGGGCAGCGGTCGGCGCGGATGCGCAAGAAGCTAAGGGACGCCGACTGCAAGCCACCGATGTGGAGGACCTCGGGGGCCAGATGAACGGCGGCGGGTTCGCTGGAGGTGTGCGCGGCATTGGCGGCGGCGGCCGGGGCGGCGGCTGTCGGCGGGATAGGCGAGAGGCCAGCGGACGGTGGCGGGCCGCAGGCGGGTGGTGGGGGAACAGCGTCAAGGTGCGTGGCCCGCATGGGATGTGCACCGTGTGCGGGGCGCATTCAGCCAGGAGGAGGGCTGTGTTCGGCGCCCAGCGCCCAGAGCCCCAAGCGCGGGGAGGCGCGTCGGCGAAGGAGGCCCCCAAGAGGAAGCGCAGAGATCGGATCCTGGCGGGGCGCCATCCGGGGACGAACCAGTCGCTCGAGGAGGTGCAGATGCAGGTGCCAGTTCGCCGCGGGCGCCAAGCTGAAGCGCTACGGTGATTGGCGCGACAAGGTTGAGGATCCTTGATTCAGGCTGTGTTGGGGCGCGGCGTGGGCCTGTTGGCGAGATCCGCTGCGGGCCTTGGGTGAGGGAGACGAAGCCTCACGAGTACTTTGTTGGGACGGACGGCTCGGTTGTTCGGCCCGTTCTCCCCCTCTCGGGGCCGTCCTGAGGCCCTCTTGGGCTGTTTTGGGCGCATCTGGGGCCGTCTTGGGGCGGTCTTGGGTTTTTTTTTGGGACGCGCTGGAGCGCCAGGAGCTCGAATTATGGAAGACCTATGGGGAATCAGTGTGTTTGACCTTTCGGGCCCTCTTGGGAGGACTCTTGGAGGCATCTTGGGACGTATGGTTTTTTTTATGTCATTCGACTGGGGGCCATCCTGGGCATCTTGGAAAGATTGTTCGGCGATTCGGGGCCCTCCTGGACCGTCCTGGGAGCCGCTTGGGGCCCTCTTGGCCCGTGTTGGGGCCTTGGTGGGCCTGGAGAAGTCATGCGGCGAAGCGCGGCGCACCCCAACAGAATTTGGGAGCTAGGGGTCTGGGCCTGTTTCGTAATCCTCAGGACTGACGGCTGAGGCCCACGAGATCAGGCAAAGGACTTGTGGACGCTCCAACTCGTGCCTCAGGGCACGGTGGCGGATAATTCGATCGTTCTAGAGAGGTGAGGAGACGAAAGAGAAAGGATAAGGAGGGGGGGCGGAGAACTGATTGCTGAATGATGGGGTGGTGCTCGTATTTAATTGGTCGGGCCTCGTGTTTCGAGGCACTGCTGGGTCCAAGCCGCCTCCCGTCTTGGGTTCAGGGTATCGGTCCAGGCGCCCTCATCCTAGAGACTGTCCTGGACACTCGAGTCTGGACCAAGGCGTGCTGCAGCGGTTGGGTTACAAATTTGTGGCTCTCCTGTGTTCCCCTCGCTCGCATATTCTCCTTTGCCTGTCTTGCACAAGAACTAGTGTAGTTCCGGTCGTCCAAATTCGAAGGGATTGCGGGCAACCTGCGATTGCCAGCGTTCGCAGCATGAGACGCCTGCAAAAACCCGCTTGCATCCGGACAAAGATCAGGTCTCAATCGATACTGGTGAGCGCAAGTGATTCTTACTTAGAGGTGGTGTTTTCCTGTTGTTTTCTTGCCAGGTATCCGACCTGGAGTATCATTCATTCGAGGTGTTGCCGTTGCTGTCGCACGAGAAGAGAGGAAAGAGTACAGAGGTCACAGCAAAGAGGACAAAGAAAAGGGGAAGGATGGAGGAAGAGGGGGAGGAGGAGGAGGAGGAGGAGGAGGAGGAGGAGGAGGAGGAAAAGGAAGCATTGTGCAACTCAGCCAGGATACTCGGTCCCTGGACTGGGTGGACGTTGCCCTCGCGGACGGGACGCAGCTCACGATGACAACCGACCACCCCATGCCGGTCGCCGGGTCCAAGGGCGTCCTGACGCAGACGTTCGTGCCGGCCGCAAGCCTGCACCCGGAGATCCACAACGTCATGGTTCACGGAAGTCGGAGGAGTAAAGTGCGTTTCTTTCTTTTTTTGTTTGCGGCCTGCCAGGAGGCCTTCGTCGCCACCGCTGGCTGCGCCTCGACAGTCTGGTCAGAGCCCACCCCGAGAGAGGTCCAGGGAGTCGCGGCATCGGTGCTTTTGTTGTTTCCCGAGGAGACGGGACGCAACCCGTTCGGGTCCACAGCGTCTCGCGAGTGGCGCCCCCCGCCGAGAAGCCGCGCGGGCGGGCGTCTGTCTCGGTGAGGCAGTCCGCGCGCTACTCCATCCTTGTCGCACAGGGCCCAGAGGACCGGAGAAGAGCACATTTCATAATCATAATTGATTGGAATGCCGCGCGAATTTCCTGGGTCTGCGCTGCGTCCCCTGGCGGCACCTCGGGCGCCACCCCCGGCGCGCCCCGCGCGCCATTGAGGGGGGTCCTGCGTCGATCCCAGGAATCCGTTCGGAGCTGCGAGAGGTTACACATGGTTAATGTCGAATTATTCGAAAGTTCTTGGATTTTTTAGCCACTTCCTGGCCACTAGGGGGCCAGGAACAATTGGAAACAAACACAGTCAGAAATGAGCAGGATTAGAAATGAGCGACGTGTGTGTTGATGCCGTTTTTGGGTCCTCCACAGGAGACCCGCCTGATGGCGGTGGGCTCCGCCGACCTCGCGAAGCCGGCGGCGCTGCTGCACGTTGGCCAGGAGGGCACCTTCCTGCACGTCTCCGAGCCGCGCTCGCGCAAAGCGTCCTCCCACTCGTGGCCGCCGTGCAAGAGGCAGCATCATCTCTACTCGGGCCGCCCCGCCAACATCCTGCCGTCCCCAGCGTGCCGCGAGCCCAGTGCTGGCGGCCAGGAGGAGCCGTCCTGGCACTCCTCCCTGTCCAAGTCCTCCGAGCCCCTCTCGTCGTCCAGCTGCTCCCTCGGTGACGGCGCGGCCGAGTCCGTCATCCTGCCGAGCCCGCTGACCAGGCTCAGCGACAAGCTGAAGGCCTCCTCGACGGGCCTGCCGAGCCTGGGCAGCGGCGGGCACTTCGACGGGGAGTGCAGGCCGTGCAGCTACAACCACCACGGCCGCTGCAACTTCGGCATCTGGTGCAAGAAGTGCCACCACCAGCACTTCAAGGTACGTGGGCGCGTGACACAGCTCAAGCCGAACCACGTGCACAAAACCCAGTCGTCTGCCACCGCGTCGAGCTCGTCCGCTCAGCAGACTCCCCGGACCAATTGCCCGTCGAGTGCCGGATCGAGCACCCCTACGCAGCAGACCCCTCGGACTCAGTGATCGGGATCCGCGCGCAGTTTGGGACACGGTTTCCCCAAGTGGCTAGGTGTATCGATCAGGCTCCGGAGGTGGATAGACCTCCTACCTTGACACGTCGATTAAGGAATTGGCCGTTCTCGGTTCGCGAGAGGGCGTCGCGTCCGTCATTTTTGCGGGTCCAGGTTTGTCGGTTTCGGTCCCAGGCCGTTTTCACTAAGGGGAGGTTTACTAAAAGGGGGTTTGTCCACCGCCGATCCATGCTCCTGGGCGGAACCCGGGGGCGTTCCGGAGAGCGTCTGTGGCGCGCGGCTCGCAGCCAGCAGTGCCCATAGAGAGGAGGGGGCAGGCTCGCCCCTCGCTCTTGCAGCGCGGCGCAGGCCGACGCCGTGCGTCCTGGACCTCCTGGAGGCCCGAGGAGCAGCTGGGCTCTGAGACGCAAGGGCGCCCTCGAGGGCGCGAAGTTATTTGCGCTTCGCGGTTCGGCTCCGATTCCTCCTCATCCTCCTTTTCTCCCCTGGGACGCGGCGCGAGAGCGCGAAGTTATTCGCACTTCGCGCTTCGCGCAGCGCGAAGCGCAAAGGTGGGAGCTCTTGAAGACGGATCTGTAGGGCAGCTGGGCCTCTGGCTATGGTGGCGGCGGATCTCTGCAGCGAGCTTCGGCCGTGGTCGGTTGGCGACGCGAGGGGCCGAGGCCGAGCAAGGGCGACTCGGACTCCTGGCTCCTGAGGGAGTTTACTGCCGAGAGTCGCCGGTGCTGAAGTCAATCCATGGCTCCGCAGACGCAGGAGTTCAGTTTTCCGAATCCAGCATGTCCGCTGGCGGCAGTCCCTTGCTGAGCCTTCTCATATAATCAGGAGGGGAAAAATCACACAGACACAATTAATCGCCGATTCCCAGAAAATATAGGAAATTATCCCTGCAAAGCAACCTAACAGCGATGTGTAGTAGGAGCATATCTGGAAGCATTCCCCTTCAGATTCAGATGAGAATCCAGTTGTAGAATTCTGCTGTTCTCGCAGTCGTAGTCGCATTCGCGATGACAGTCGCAGTGGCAACGGCAGTCGCAGTCAGCCTCAGCCTCAGCCTCAGCCTGCCTCAGCCTCAGCCTCAGCCTGCCTCAGCCTCAGCCTGCCTCAGCCTTCAGCCTGCTCAGCCTCAGCCTCAGTCTGCCTCAGCCTCGCCTCAGCCTCAGCCTCAGCCAGCAGCCTCAGCTGCTGCCTCAGCTCAGCCTGCCTCAGCATCAGCCTCAGCCTCAGCCTCAGCCTCAGCCTCAGCCTCAGATTGCTTCAGCCTCAGCCTCAGTCTGCCTTCAGCCTCGGCCTCAGCCTCAGCCTGACTCAGCCTGAGCCTGCCTCAGCCTCAGCCTCCTTATAGATCACCCAAGGAAGGGCTACCCTAGGGCTACCCCTAGGCCTACCCCTAGGGCTACCCTAGGGCCTACCCCTAGGGCTACCCTAGGGCTACCCTAGGGCCTACCCCTAGGGCTACCCTGGGGCTACCCCTAGGGCCTACCCCTAGGGCTACCCTAGGGCTACCCCTAGGGCCTACCCCTAGGGCTACCCTAGGGCTACCTCTGGGGCCTACCCCTAGGGCTACCCTAGGGCTACCTCTGGGGCCTACCCCTAGGGGTACCCTAGGGCTACCCTAGGGTGTCCAGTAGGGCCTATCCTTGGGAAGCCTGGGGCCTTCTGTATGTGTAATCCGCCACACAAGCAAGCAATGCCTTTAATGTCCCGCCCGCCCGCCCGACAAAAGGAATCAGCTTGTAATCCGCCACAATAGTAATCAACTTGCAATCCGCTGCCAAATGGAATCACTTTGTAATCCGCCACGAAAGCAATCAATGCATTTAATGTCCCGCCCGCCCGCCCGACCAAAGGAATAAGTTTGCAATCCGCTGCCAAAGGGAATCCATGTGTAATTCACCACACAAGCAATTATTGCCTTCAATGTCCCGCCCGCCCGCCCGGCAAAAGGCGCCCGACCAAAGGAATAAGTTGAAAATCCGCTGCCAAAGGGAATCCATTCGCAATTCACCAAACAAGCAATCATTGCCTTTAATGTCCCGCCCGCCCGCCAGACAAAAGGAATCAATGTGTAATCTGCCACAATAAGAATCAGTTTGCCATCCGCCACACAAGCAATCAATGCCTTTAATGTCCCGCCCGCCCGCCCGACAAAAGGAATCAGCTTGTAATCCGCCACAAATGGAATCTACTCGTAATCCGGTACCAACGGGAAGCAATTGGTAATCCACCACACAAGCAAGCAATCAATGCCTTTAATGTCCCGCCCGCCCGCCCGACTAAAGGCATCAACCCTAGGATAGACCGGAGAGGGGGGGTCAGCGAGGGGGGGTCAGCGAGGGGGGGTCCCAGAGGGGGGGTCCCAGAGGGGGGGTCAGCGAGGGGGGGTCCCGAGGGGGGGTCTGCGAGGGGGGTCAGCGATGGGGTCAGGGGGTCAGCGATGGGGGTCCCAGAGGGGGGGTCAGCGAGGGGGGGTCCCAGAGGGGGGGTCAGCGAGGGGGGGTCAGCGAGGGGGGGTCTGCGAGGGGGGGTCAGCGAGGGGGGGTCCCAGAGGGGGGGTCTGCGAGGGGGGGTCTGCGGCGCCGGGGCCGCGGTCGCCGGGGGGCGGCGCGGGCGCCCTGCCCTCGGAAGGGGGAGCGGGGGGGGGGGGAAGCAGGGGATCGAGAGAGTAGCGAGGGAGGAGGAGGAGGTGGAGGAGGAGGAGGAGGAGGAGGAGGAGGAGGAGGTGGCGGCGGAGGAGGAGGAGGCGGCGGGAGCAGGGGGGAGGGAGGAGGCGGGCGGACGGAGTGAGGAGGGAGGAGGGAGGAGGCGTGCGGAGGGAGGAGGGAGGAGGGATGCTGCCGGCTCGGATTCCCGCTACAAAGGGGTCCGGCTACCCCTGGGGCCCACCCCTAGGGCTACCCTAGGGCTACCCCTTGGGAAGCCTAGGGCCTTTGGTAGGGCCTACCCTTGGGAAGCCTAGGGCCTTGGGTAGGGCCTACCCTTGGGAAGCCTAGGGCCTTGGGTAGGGCCTACCCTTGGGAAGCCTAGGGCCTTGGGTAGGGCCTACCCTTGGGAAGCCTAGGGCCTTGGGTAGGGCCTACCCTTGGGAAGCCTAGGGCCTTGGGTAGGGCCTACCCTTGGGAAGCCTAGGGCCTTGGGTAGGGCCTACCCTTGGGAAGCCTAGGGCCTTGGGTAGGGCCTACCCTTGGGAAGCCTAGGGCCTTGGGTAGGGCCT